AATTTTCTCATATGACCCCCCTATATGTAATTTGTAAATAAGTATTTTTTTTTGGAGAGAAAAAATACAAAATTTAGAAGAGAGGGCATATTGCACGTAAAGACGAGATATGAGATTTTCACTCAAAGTCATTTTAGTTATTTATGAACTATACGAAAACTTGCTAAGTGAGATAATATAAAATTCAAGGAGATTTTGTAAAACTCCTGATAGTTCAAGGGGATTATTTAAAGTTTAGGGGGCTATATCCAACATTTTCTAAAGTTCAGTGAAGTTTGTGTGAAATAAAACCCTTTTTTTTTATCGATTTATAATCTTATATGAGAAAACAAAAACCCTGAGAGAGCGAGCGGTTACTCTACCCAAAAAAGCATTTAAAATTTTAATTTTCATTAAAGTTGCTGTTATTTAATAACATTTTTCTCTCAGTTCTCAACACAAGTCAAGAAAGAGACAGCTCGGTTCCGTTGTCAAAAGAAAAGGCTCGCCCTTGGTGGGCCCCACCTCCCTCCACCCCTCAGGGTGAGGCCACAGAGGAGCCAGCTGCCCCTGCCGATCGTTATACTTTGCTGCCGAGGCCACTTCTTTATTAATCCCTGCCTCCAGTTTTTTTTAGAGAGAGAAAGCTCACGGGAGAGACAGAGAGAGAGAGAGAGAGAGAGAGAGAGCATCAACTGTTGTCTCTGAGATCTTAAGATCCCAACGCAACCAGGTAAAAGAGCCCCCCTTTGGAAAAAAAGCTAGCCTCTTTTATTGATGAAAATACTGATCTTTTTCCAGTAATTTTGATTTCAGTGCTGTAATAATCAATTTCTGCTTCATGGGGATTGTTAATTTTTATTGATTTTTATCTTGCCTTGATTTTTATATTGATGTTAATTAGAAGGAGATGGGGAGAAATGGGAAGTGGCTAGTTGCTGTTAAGAGAGTGTTCAGCCCTGAATCGAAGGAAAAGAAAGCACAGGTATTTTATTTTATTTTATTTTTTGATGATTTCAGCAACCGGGTTGCAATCAAAATGTCTACTTTCTCACTGATGTGCTAAAACTTGCAGAAGAAGAAGAAGAAATCTAAGAAGAGATGGGGGTTTGGTAAATGCAACGACTTTGATCCAGATTCGTCAGATGATGCTCCTGTTCCTCAGGAGCAGAGAAAGCTATCTGGTTCTGAGAATGATCAGAGCAAGCATGCATATTCAGTGGCTCTTGCTTCTGCAGTCGCAGCGGAGGCTGCTCAAGTTGCAGCCCAGGCTGCTGCTGAGGTTGTTCGCCTCACAAAATCAGCGAGGTTCACGGGGAGATCGAAGGAAGAGGTTGCTGCTATTAAGATCCAGACTGCTTTCAGAGGTTACATGGTATAAATTTATTTATCCTCTTTTGATATGAGTGGTGGTGTTAAATTTATGGTCCTAATTATATTTCTCTTGTGCATAGTGTTGAAGGTTGAATGCATGCTTGTTGCTTTTTGAAAATTCTGGATGTTTTGTTTAGTGCAACATTATCTAGTGAATTATGCGAAATTAGAATATTACACGTCCGCGAGGACTGAATTTTACCTATCGGAAATCAATGAAGTGAACTTAAAATATACAATGAGAAAATTAGCAGGTTGCTTCTGATTTCCCTTAATTCAAAATTCCCAATATTCTTGTGGTTTCCTATCACGATTTTTGAAGCTCAGAAACCCAGAGTATTTAAATCGCTTAATTTTATGAAGGTTGTGACTTTAAAAATCCAACACCATTAAGTTGTTTTTATTATTATGTATTTTGACTCCTTCAGATTGAATTATAGTTGGTTAACTTGCGTGCGTTCATTTAACAGGTATGACCGTTATCAATTAGTATTGTTATCAAACTTTTGTATTGATCACAAGAGCATTGTTCCATAAATTCTTTAAATTTTTCAGTCAATCATTCTGATTGATCATGGGAATTAAGATCATGTTCTACACTGTCCTCTAGGGAAGTACTTATCTTAATTGACTTTTACAACAATGCATTCATGATTCTATATGAAACTGGCTGTACGAATATGAGAATAAATGGGATGATCACTAGTGGATACAGATTTTGATATTGTTCAAGTTCATGTTCTCATAAGTAGAACATGTAATTAAATGATGTTACTATCTAAAGAAAGTATTGCACAGTGCTAAGTGGATATCCTACTGCATTTACTCTTCTGATTTTATCATTGTAGTGCTCGATAATATCCTTACCATCTGAAGCTATCCTCAATAACTCATCACATGATTTTGTTTCTATCCTTTTCTCCAAGAAAAGGCAATATGAGAACAAATGGTGTTATCACTAGTGAGGTCAAATTTTGATAGTATTCTAGTTGGTACAGCTAACTCTTCCTCAGAAGCAGTAACTACTGATAAATGACATTCTATCTAAAGCAAATATTCCACATTATTAAGCGGATCTTTGCATTTATTCTTCTGATTCTATTATTATAATGCTTAGTAATATCCTCAATAACTCATCACATGGTTTTGTCTCTCTCCCCTTTTTCTCCGAGTAAAGGCGAGGAGGGCATTGCGGGCTTTGAGAGGACTAGTTAGACTTAAGGCATTGACAAACAGCAATGCTGTCAAGTGCCAAGCTGCCGCCACTTTACGTTGTATGCAGACACTGGCGAGAGTTCAAGCACAGGTCCGTTCAAGGAGAATCAGAATGTCAGAGGAAAACCTGGCTCTTCAGAGACAGCTGCAATTAAAGCATGAAAGAGAACTCGAGAAATTGCGGGTAAGTCATCCATTATCTCATTTATTACATTTAACATATAAACAAGGCCTACTTATAGTTCTGATTTCGTTATTAATTGTAATCTTGTCACTTCTACTCATTGGTGCATTTAATGGTCTCCCTTGCTCATAACTGCCTATCAAAAAAAATTTGCCTAGCTTATTTTCTCTATCAACCTTCATGATGATAGGATCTACTCTTGATTTCTGATATGATAAGATGATACATAAATAGAGTTAATATTTACAGCATCAAGAAGTCCTTGCTGATCCTTGACATTTGATGTTTGAGGAATTTTGGAGTGTTTCAATATAAGATAGGAAGAAGGAAGGACTTTGACGTAGATTCCATTATCTATAATGTAGCCCGTTTCAGTCTTCGGTTCAATGAGTCAAGCTGTTAAAAGTATAATCACCAACGCTTCTGAAGTGAGGATAACTGATACCAAGAGGCGTAAATGATACATGTTGGCAAGAGGACAATAGTTTTATGATAGGAAAAAATGCACAGGAGATAGATTAAGATAAGTCGGTTGTTTTACAATTGTCATGAGTTGCTATTAGAACCATAAACAACCTCATCCTTATAAGCTATGTTACCAGGGTACTTCTATTTGGAAGCGGTACCTGTACCCAACATGTACATGTACCCGTACCCATACCCAAACATCTTGGATACATTTTTTTTGGGATACAAGGGAAACTTGGTAAGGCAGGAGGATCCCCGAGCCTGAGTTCGAGTCCCCCACCCTTACCAATAAACCCCGGGTGAGCTGGGTACCCCCTACCCCGCCCAGTCACCAGGATTGTAGGACACTTAGGATGTGGGTGGCAAGCCTCGAACCCGGACCTTTGGCTAGGAATGTTTGTGACTTGCCACCCACCCACATGCGGGGTGTTTCTTGGATACTTCTTGAATGTATGCATACGTTTGTTCAAGCGTATACTCAATTATATGCTACATGTTATTCATTTAAAACGCTTCTCACACTTCTTAGATGTATATTCTACACTTCACATCTATTTCTAATGTATTGATCTTATACAATGAAAAAACAATATTGATTTTATGTAAATTATTAATTTTAATAATATAAATATACTGTACATAACATACATAATTATAGCCGAGTCGCCATACGCTACCTTTTATAAATTTGTCGTGTCCTGTACCAATACCTGTACCCGCAACCATACCCATGCAACTTAGCTTATCAGTGGTTTTCTTCCTTATCACATGAACAGAGTTTAGTCTCTTTCCCGGTCACCATAAATTCTCTAGTGTCATGTCTCCTTGTCCTTTAATTAATTCTTTGGTATTCATATTCTACTCGCAATTTGCATATCTTTTTGTCATGCTCATATAGATTTTTCTTTTCTTGAAGAGCTACCCCAATTGGTTCCCTGATAAACCTTATTAAAGTGAAAAATAACACAAGTTGCTGGAATTAACTATATAGCAAAATGTTTCTTGTTGAGATCACCTCCCATGATCATAATTTCAAACTTTATCGCTAGATTTTTAGCTCTCCTTAGACTATCATCTAACTCTGCTCATTTTCGTACACTACACTTCTTCAGTAGTCTTTGCTTCTTGAAATATTCCCGAAGGAAAAATGAACTTCGATCAAACCCGCATCTGAACTGGCTTTAGGCGTTACAAAGTGATCATATACCATCAATAAACACATTCAAGGCTGTTTGAAATAATCTTCTTATCATGATAACAGATGTCGGAGGAATGGGACGACAGTCTTCAATCCAAAGAACAAATCGAAACCCATCTACAGAACAAGCAAGAGGCATTCTCTCACCAGGTACCCTCCCACATTCATCTATAATCATTCACTAACATACCAAATATTTCGTATGCTTAAACCCCATTAAACTTCACAGTGGAAGGCCTCTTCAAGATCAGCAAATCCTACATTCTTGGATCCGAACAACCCTGAATGGGGCTGGAGCTGGATGGAGCGCTGGATGGCTGCTCGGCCATGGGAAAGTTTAAACACTACTGAACAAGGAAAATCTCCCTCGACTCCTCCCACCAAAAAGCCCTCCATGGCCAGAAAAATTAGGTCAGCCAGCCCAAGAAAAGGTTGGGCCCATGTAGATAGCATGAGCGTGCAGTCCGAGCGTGCGAGGCGACATAGCATGGGTGGTGGGTCATCTCTCTCCATCCGGGATGACGAGAGCCTGAGCCAGAGTCAGAGCCAGGCGAGCACCGCAATGACTGTGCCTAGTTACATGGCACCAACAGAGTCGGCTAAGGCCAAGGCGAAGTACCGTAGCTCGTTAATGAGTAATCTTGATTCATCTTCGGAAAGGAGCTCGGTGACCTCAGTGAGGAAGAGGTTGTCTTTTCCGTCGGCTGTGCCGGTGACAGTGGCGGCGCGGCNCGCGGCGGCATTCAGTGCCGCCAAGGGTGGATGTGGGCCCCTTGAGAAGTAATGAAGGGAAGAGGTAGCTTGATTAATTTGAGTTTGTTAGCTTGGCTTTGTTTAGAGTGGTTGTGTTTGATGTATTTGTTATTAGGTTTTTGATTTTGTGAGTAATTTTTTTTTGGGTGTTAACAAGTAAAACTGGCATATAAACATCGGAAGTTGGTTGTGTAAGAGTTTTGTGTACTTATTTTATGACTGAATCCTTTATTCTAAAGTGGAAGAGTTCTGTGTATTTATCTTGTGATTGAATCCCTTTACTAATGTGTCAAGAGATGGAATTGTGGTAATTGATTTGTTTTGGTCGTGTCCAGGTATTTTTTTTTGTTTGGTTGTAAAGAGATCAGTTTTGTAAAAAGCAATTGTTTGGTCATTATTATTATGTTAAACCGAATAATCCAAGTGAAGGTGGACTTCCTCTCTTTCTTCAATTTTCTCCATATCCAATTTTGGATGGCGCACCTTTAAAATATTTATCGAGCATAAAACATATATTTTTAATACCCTATAAATTGTAACATGAACGGAGGATATTTCTAATACGAATTTGTTTTCGCACCAAAAGCTATGGAAAATACACACTTTAGCAGTTACAATCCTTATTTGAGGTGAAACAGAGGATTTGACGAATTAGTGTGGATATAATATTACTAACAAGAACAAGAGAGCAATGATATTAAATTACTCGATGTGCAATCAAAATAAGATAAAAGGGGGTGTTTGTTTTATTTTTTTTGGGATATGGTGTGGATTTTAAGTTTTGGGATGTAAAAAGAGGTTTTTTGGGGTTTTAGAATTTTTTTTTTGGGATATGGTGTGGATTTTAAGTTTTGGGATGTAAAAAGAGGTTTTTTGGGGTTTTAGAATTCCATAAAACTTGTTTGTTTCAAAATATTGGGGTTTTAGAATTCCATAAAACTTGTTTGTTTCAAAATAAGTTTTAGGATATTAAATCCCCAAATAACAAAAAAATAATATATTTAAGGATTCGTAAAATCCTCTTTTTCATGTGGGATGAGTGGGTGGATTTCAAAAGCTTTATACAAATTATGGATTTCAAATTCCAAAAAGTTTAAAACAAACAAAAATATTATAAATTTTAGTATTCCAAATCCCAAAATATTGTTGAAACAAACAAAGTTTTAGGAATCCCAATCCATAACAAATTACCTATAGATTTCAAATCTTATGGTAAAATCCGTATCCTAAAATTATAGGATTTGAAACAAACACCCCCTAATACCATCGCCCTCGTAGGAATAGAAGTCTGAAATAGGGAGCAGTACGTAGTTGTAAAAATCATAGGAGGAGTAACGTTAATTATGTAATAACCAGGACTCTGAATCCAAGATGGATTCAGGTGGGACTCAAAACCTATAAATATAACCCACCAAATAAACGCACCCCCTCCATATCAACCCAAATTAAATTACAACCTCCTCAAACAATCTCGCTTGCCTTCAGCCATGGCCTTCTCTCTGTTGAGAGTTGTTGGTGTTTCTGTGATGATGGTACTCCTCCTCCTCCCTGAGAGCAGCTCTGGCGCTTCTTTACCCTCGTCACCAACACTTCATCCTACTCCATCACCATCACCAGCGTCGGCACCAGGGCCAAACCCGTCGAAGGCGGCGCCGTCACCTACTTCGTCCAACTCCATCGCCATCACCGTCGAAAACACCATCTCCGTTGGAAGTACCCCCTCATACTCCATCACCATCACCATCGAACGCACCGTCCCCACCGAAAGTGCCACCTCCTGCTCCGCCGTCGCGGACGCCATCTCCGCCTATTCCACCGTCAAAGGCGCCATCTCCATCTACAACACCTACTACTTCATCCCCACCGGCTCAATCTCCATCAGAGGTGCCTACTCCATCACCATCACCATACCCACCACGAACAAGCCCGTCAATAACCACTACAATTTCACTTATAATCAGTGAGAACATGCATTTCAGAAACGCCTTCACAATTCTAACCGTCGCCCCGCCGCCACCAATCTCAAGCACTCCACCGTCGTCATCCCCGGGCTTCAACATGCAACCACAAACCACTTCCTCCTCCTCCTCGTCCGATGCTCATACTATCAAGACGTTGATTATTGCAGCAGCTTTGGGGGTCCTGGTCCTTCTTTTGCTTGTCTTAATACTGTGTCTCATTGGAATATTCAGTTTGCTTCTTTAGATTTGATTAGATTAGTTACAGGAAAAAAACACATTAGTTTTCTATATTTTTGTATAATTACTTCTTTGCATGGCGGAAGAAGTTATTAGTTCAGTTGATACCCCCCCCCCCCCCCCCCCCCACCCCGAGGATGTCAGTTACTACATATCCTTTTTAAAACAAAGGTGATGATTAATGTCAATTTATCTGGTTCTTTTTGTTTTACATAACAATATAGCTTGTTTTTGTTCAGTTTTTAGTGTTATATGATGATACGTTGATTGTATGTATGATACAGTAATACTCGTTTAGTAAATTGAACTCAGAACAAAAATACTAGGATCAACTGGTTCCCGATATGCAAAGCTTGCGGTCATCAAATCATTTTAGTCCCTCTTTAGTGCTAGAAGATATACAACTCATATTAGGAACCTTGAGAATATGAGCATTTATCTTGATTGAGGCCGTAATGAATTATCTATGATGTTGATGATATTGGAAGAACTCAGGGATCGATAGTCCTCAAACAAAGACTGTAACGTCAAAACCTGAGCTTTTGTCCAAACCATGAACCATGAATTCCATCACGGTTGCCTATGTATTCATAAATTCTATCGCTTGTAGGCTAGCTAATCAGACCTTAATCACTTTTGTGATCCATCAGACTTCAATTGGATATATCATTCGCTTATAAACCACAACTTGTACTTTGATATATATTCATGGAAGAGAATTCAACCAATCAGATCCAAAAGCTTAAACTGTCAGGCATTGATCACAGCTTTCTTTTTAATCA